TATACATATACCTACGCACGGAGAATTATACTTATATATTATATTTATAAATACATTTCGCTGTTATTCGTTGTTATTCACTGTCATAATCTTCTTATCAAGTGCGAAGCATAATTAATAGAGTCATCGATCTCTCTGATAATAACTCGTTTAGTCAATGCGATCGTTATCGATTGACACAGTTATTTTCCCGCCAAAAGAGACTACACCAACATGTCAGAATTTACAAGTTTCCATACCAAAAGGGACGCATCAGGCTGCAATTAACAGAAAATTGTAAACGTTTGGTGGTTTGTATTGCCTTACTGCATATTAACCTCAATGGGTTATTTAATTATATTTTTATTGCTAGTAATATATTTTTTAGAGTATTACTGGTAATATTTTTTCCTTCAAAAGTGTATTGCTGGTAATGTTTGTTTTCTTCTAAAATGTACTGCTGGTAATAATGTATTGCTGGTAATAATTTTTTCTTTAAAAATTTATTGGTGGCACTATTTACATTATTCGGACTATTGTCCTCATCATTGTCGCCATATTTATTACAACGTTTCGGTCGTTGTACGCTCCGACCTTCTTCAGGTGGTTGGAATGTTGAACTGAACCCTTTATTTCGCTCACTGGGATAGACTTTTCTAGTTCCACATGCCATGTTTAACGTATGTCAGTTATCAGTTAATCTCCTGTTAATTCCCTTCTCAAAGTCCTCCACTGACTTAACCAGGTATTGAACTCACACTCTTTGGGTCCTGTCACTGGAACTAACTAACGCCTTTATCCACTGTGTCATGTGTCCTCGTGTTTTTGGTGGCATTAAAACCTATTTTGACTCATTCATAGTGTTTTTTAGCCCCAGTTTGGGGTTAACTATTTGCGCATATTCGGGATACTGACAGGATGGACCTGGAAACACCAGCAATTAAGAGTTTTTTTCCACGCTCCTGAAAACCTTCCCGAGGCCTTGCTGTTGGATGTAGTTTATTGCCTTACGCAGGACGCGAATGAAGCTTGTCGTTTTACGCAAGATGCCTTATTTCGGGATTGTCTTTACACATCTGCAGAGGTTCAGTAGGCGTCTTCTGAAGCCGCAGCCGACAGGTTAGCAATTGGAAAGCTTTATAACATTTATGAATTATACATATATATTACACACACACACACTGTTGTGGTGTCCTCCCTCTAAAGAGTCTATGTTGGACTCTTCCGCCTACTATAAGATTAGTAGGAGAGAAGGCCTTGGGGGAACAGTCGGATAAATTGAATGCTGGGTCATCCGACACACACTCACTATTCATGTAATACTCTTCTGATGTACTTACTGTGTAATATATAGGATGTATAAGATGTAACACTTGTTTTGTTATTTCTTTAGCCATTTACTTGGATACAAAACACACACACATTTTCGTATGAGAATATTACTACCACATCTGGTCTGGTGGTCCTGCTCTATATTTAGAGACCCCTGATAAAATCCAAAGAAGAATCTGCAATGCCATTAGTCCAGACCTGGCATCTCGGCTTCAGTTACTTTCCCACCGCCGTAATGTAGCTTCTATAAATACTTTCATGGTAATTGTTCTAATGAACATTCCCCTTTGGTACGTAGACTTTATTAATTTAAACGCAGGACGAGATTGGCAGGAAAATTTAATAATATCACAGTCGAAATGGCTAGATGTAACCGTAAGTTCTACGTTAACTGTTTCTTCTATTACACGTCACGCTTATAGAATTCTCTTCCGTCTTCTTGCTTTCCAGTCTTGATCGATCTTCAAAAATTTAAATGCAATGTCCATCGTTATCTTCTGTCTTCTTAGTTCCTGTTATTTGTTGTTCTCTCTCCTTAATAATGTTTTCTTTTTCTCGTATTCTTCAGATACTGTAATCTACTGCGTCTTAGAGGCTTTATTGCCTTACTTGGAGTGAAAAGATTAAAAAAATGTAGCAGTCCTTGGGGAAAAGCTGCCTGGGTGGAACTTCCGCCTTACAAATGTGACTGATTCGACTCTTTCTTTAATATATTAGTACTTTCAACTGTATATTCAGTCATCCTTAGGCATGGAAATTATTTTGTTTTTGGTAAAATTCGGTAGCATTCGATACGAAAAATTAAATGCGAATCGAAATATGTTTTTTTAATGAAAGTACTAGCAAATTAAAGAAAGACCTTATACTGTATATAATTTTAAAAACAAGGTTCATAGTATTCATTAACTTTCCTAATCTACATTTTTTGTATGAATGATTCATTGTAATATAAATTGAACTGCACCACATATTTGATATATATATATATATATATATATATATATATATATATATATATATATATATAGAGATAGAGAGAGAGAGAGAGAGAGGGAGATAGATAGATAGATAGAATATAGATAGATAGATAGATAATATTATATATATATATATATATATATATAGATAGATAGATAGATAGATAGATAGATAGATAGATAATATTAGTGGAAAATATACATACATATGCAAAATATATAAATACCCATACATGTATATTTTCAGAAAAAATTTTCCAAGAGGAAGAATCCAGGTAGAACTCAATGTCTAGGACAGAGTAAGGATATAATAAAAAAAGCTTAAACACATTAATATGACCATGGAATATTAGTGTTTAAGCTTTTATTTTTTATATATATATATATATATATATATATATATATATATATGAAGAAAAAAATATATACGGAAAAAAACAAAACAAAATCCTTATATACAATTATGCTGTTTTAATGTTAATATGTCAACGCCTGACGTTTCGGTCTAATAAACCATCTTCAGGACATATTCATAAATATAACATTATCAATACAACATGACAAAGACGATATATATATATATATAAATTCCCAAGAGGATAGAATCCAGGTAGAACCCAATGTCCATAACAGAGTAAAAATTATGCATCGAAAATAATTCATATTTATCTGTACCTCACGTAACAGTTAAGTACTGAAGCTACATCATATAAAAGGCTGAATTAGATAGATAGCTAGCATTATAGTGTAAATGACTTAACATACAATACAAACCCACGTCCCTATCAGTCAAGCTAATTAGGTGACCGTTCAAGATTACTTGAGTCTGGACATTGTCTTACATTCGTCTTGGAAGAGACACACTTATATTTCAGTGTGGTTTTAGGGGGGAGGGCGTCTTGTAAGCCGGAAAATACGGTGTATATAAGGAAAATTAATGAATTAAAAAATATTTCCGAGCGACATATCTTGTTCTTTAAAACTTCATCAGACTAAAGTGATATTTACGTTGACATAATTACACATGGGCATGAAGGAAAAGGAATAATTTTGAAAAATTTAATTTAATTTTTTCATTTTTGCCCGAAGATATGTTTTTTTTCACTTTTTAATTAATTTTCCTAACATTTTCTGGTATATATATATATATATATATATATATATATATATATATGTGTGTGTGTGTGTGTGTGTGCATATTGATACTATATATATATTGATACTATATATATATCTATATATCTATATCTATATATATGCACATATATAGACACTATATATATAGACATATATATATATATATATATATATATATATATATATATATATATATATAGTGTCTATCTATCTATCTATCTATCTCTCTCTCTCTCTCTCTATATATATATATATATATAATATATATATATATATATATATATATATATATATAGATAGATAGATAGATAGATAGATAGATAGAGAGATCTCCTGTCGATTGCGACGTATGACGATCCTACACATTCATTCGTTTGTGTCATATGTGACACTTCAGTCCCGCTAGTGAGCTACATACAACTCCACATACTGTGAAAAACGAGCGAGGATCCCGGGACATAGCAACAGGAATCATTTGCTGACGCTTGTTGCTGGTGCCTTTCATCTCTTAGCCGGTCAATACGACTGATTTCGCAATTCCTGATATCACTCTAGTACAAACATCTTATTTCTATCCAAGCCAACTAACTCGAAGTTAGTATGAGGGACACCTTGGCAGCTCCGGGGTTACTCTTTAACTTGTCGTTCTACCTTCGCCACTGATGTTCAACAATCCTTTGTCCCCTGTCAACCTGGCTACACTTATGCATTCTGTCGTCACTCATCCTTACAGTATGACGAGATAAAACGATGTTGTGACTGCATCAGAAAGTCTCAATTCAAACTGTTATGGGACCGTACCCATAATAACATAATGGACTATTCCATTAAATACTGCACCTCAAGAGGAAGCAGGGAGTTCAGTCCGAAGTCGGGCGACCGGCTGACCGGCTGATCGGTTGAACTCTCTGCCTTCGGGCGGGGAGGAACCCGAACGAGGCTACGCCGAAGGGTCAAGTCTCTTTCGGGGAGGTAAACCGACCCTGAACTGTTTAAACGGGTTCAAAGGACATATTTTTGGACGACCCCACGGGCTCGGAGATCCCACGTTAAAAAGGCTTTGTGCCACATGATGCCCTCGTGGCGGGGTGACTAAATACCATTCAGTCTGAAGTCTGGAGTGAAGTCCGTAAGGGGTCAGTCAGTCGAGTCAGAGGCAGTAAACCTGATTGTTCGTACTAACACTTTCTACCTCTCTGTATATATTCCTGTTTGTAATATATCTGTTGTTATTCCATATCTGTGTTCGAGTTCTTCTTTATTGGTTCTACCTTGGACTATCACCGTGGTACAAGGAACCGGACCATAACACCAACAACGCTGCATTTTGCGAGAACACGCGAAGGTTCTGGAGAAACGCTCCTACTAGTAATCAAAAACTATATAAAAAATACATCTCACTAACAGCAACCAAAGAAAACCCCCTTGAAAAGCCATTGGGACCATGGACACTATGGACAGTTTTTGTATTTCCTCACACCCTCCGAACGGAAAAATGTAAGAACGCTGGCAAGACTAAATGAAAAATTAAGAATAATTAAAAAAAAATTCCTTGTCCGTCATATTTAACGAAAG